CTTGGGCACGCACGCACATACGCCCGGCGTGAGTTTTAAGCCACCGGGTCTGGGACGCGAACCGCGCTCGACTACGTGGGAGTCCAGCAACATAGCCATTATGCTAACTGCTGGTCCCAGACTCTCACATTCTGAGAAACCTTGAGCTTTATTTTATATTAAATGACTAAAAAACCACTTAGTTATAATGTATTTGCATAATAGAAATTACCTCCAGAGTACAAGCTATTCATTAATATTTAATATATAAGTCCTTGGACGTGTTCAGCGGTGGACTGTTGATCTGACTGAACATTACTAATATGCCACTTTTTGTAATGTTCTCGCTGGTGGCAGGAAGAAGAGGTCTCTCAGGGATCTCTTTTACTAATGACTCTAAAACCTCATATAGTTAACATTATTGACATATGCATTCATGTACAAAAAGATGAAAGACATCAAGGACTCCCAGAAGTCTCACAACAGAAACAGGGTCTATGCCTGACCCCAGGATGCAAAATATGTGGGATGGTGTGCCCTTGTAAAAAATGGGAGGACAGATTCTCATTCTTACTGTCATAAATTAGAATAGAAAAGTGCTTTTATTTCAGATACATGGTTGCATTTGCCATGTGGGAACAAATTCCTCTAGTCCCTGATCCATCACCCATCCAAACAGGAAAATTGTAATCCTTTTCCTTCTCATGAATGCTCTAAAACAAAGGATCCATTTTTATGCAACAGATTGGGCCAATAAATTGTGGCCTCACAGAAAACATCCTGTGGTAAAGGGGGAGTGTATTTACAGTAAACAGGAGATGACGTAGAGGACTGGGAACTTCAGTTTTAATGTTCAGGTTATTTACCAGCAGAAATAGAGTCAGTTTCCTCTTTATGATGAAAAATACACAAGAGGAAAATTTAATAATGTTACTACCAGACTCTCTGATTTAATATACACTTCCTTTTATTTCTTCTTCAAATCCATCTTCAAAGAAACAGAATGTGTTTAAAAGAAACCATGCAATCTCTAATAAAAAAGGAAGAATATGAAGTTAGCTCAGGTTTGGCTAAGCATAAGTTGTCTATAAATATCAACAAACAAATAAAATAAAGAGCCATTCAATTTGATTTTGATCAAATGGTTTCTAGGAAAATTCCCCAAAATTATACAATTTTGTCCTTTCCCAAACTTCCCAAGTGTCCTTACTACACAAACAGGACATTAGTTCTTACTTGAAATTGAGTTCCCCAGTTTTGTGTTTTTAAAATCAAGAGGAAGAAATTCTCAGATAAGCTTTAAATGCTTAGTTATATGTATTGTTTGTTAACTAGTTGTTTTCTCGTTGCTTTGTTTTGTTCTTTTCTTTTGGTCCTCTGAAGCAAAGTTCTAAATCATTAAAAATAAATACTGATTCATTAGTCAACTAGTTTCAATTCAAATATAGATTTATTCATAAACTCTTCTTTTCCAGTTGAGTTATTCATTGGCCAATTTGAGTTAGGATTCAAGTTACAGTTCACTTTGCAAAAGTATCATTTTGAAAGTATGATCAAAACTATTTGAAAGCTGTATTTCAAACTCTGATGTAAAAATGTCAGTACTCTGAAAGTTTCTCAAACTATTAGAAATTGTCAGTCAATTCTCTATGCTCTAAAACACTAAAATAGTACATCATAAATGGTGAGACAGAAATTTACATCACCCTAATTAAATTTATTTTCACTTTGTTTGCTCTTGGCAAGTGAAACCTTTGACAACAGCAGATACACTAAAAGAAGTTGAGAATAAATATCATTCAAATAAATAATTTCTGATTTATTCAATCACAAATATAAACTGTCTATCATGCATCAAGAACTTCTTATAAAACAATAATGAAAGACACGGCTCCTCTTTCAAGATTTCAATTTGTAAATCCTTGAATAGATTTCAAGTATACCTGTAAACTGTTATAATCTATTATCTGTCTTAAAAACAAGTACAGATTATAATTATATTAACATATTGCTATAAAATGGGCACATGCATATTTTTATGTAAAAACAATTTCTAGAGCCAGCCTGTGGTGTGGTTCTTAGGCTGGAGGATTCCACATGGCTGACTGAGCAGTTTAAATCTAGGACCTGGCAGCTTGGGAGTGATCCTGTGTGCCAAAATCCTGAAAGGAGGTAAAAATGGAGGAGAAGGAATTGCAGTGTGACCATGCCCTATGGAAGATGCTTTTTCACTCTGCCCTTACCCCTGTCCTGTTTCTCTCTCTCTGACACACAATTTCTAACAACTAATGATTACTGATAAATAGCAAATGAAGAGGTCCTATCTAAGTTAGTAGTATATATCAAGGAATTACCAGACTGTCAAACATTAGAATGTATTTTTTCCCTTTATTATGGAAATGGCAAATTCTATACTATAAAAGGAAAAATTGTGCCTGTTAGGCAAGGAAACTTTTATGCAAGTTTACTGCAATAGGTAAGAAGATGAGGCAGGATGCTTTAAAAAGAGTATATCTAAAAGGCGCAGAGGAAAAATTTATAATTCCAAATTTTTTAAAATAAATATTTTAAGGAAGGGGATATCAGGAGCCTCTAGGATTAGACCATCTGGAATCTGGAAGGGCTAGTCTGAGAGTGAAGTCAGGGGCCTAGAGGCACAAGAAAGGCTAATGTTTTATCAAGCTGATGGGAAGATTAAGGCTGTCTTGATCAGTATTCAATGATAAAAGAAACAATAAATAGGAATATCTGTATTAAATCAAATATATAATCACAAGCACAAATAATCGGCCACATTTTGCTATCAAGCTATAATTAGCAATTTATCACACATACACACACACACACACACACACAAAACTCAAGGACTTATTTATTTATTTTTCCTAGAGTGATCCTTTCCTTATCATGATCCTTTCTTTTACTGGGATTCTTTTTAGAAGCAGGTTATTTTTATTTTTTTTTTAACCTAGCTTTCTTTGAGTATAACAGGTCATTTACATTAGGCTATTACTCATAGTTGCATTTTAATTGTGCTCAGATTTTGTACTAGGCATGCTGCTGAATTATAGCTTTTGGCATGGGATGGAGCAAATAGCAAAGTCATAGACTCCCTTATTGTCGTCCAGTTACAAAATAGGCTGTCTCAACAGGAGTGGGATCCCTGTTACTGAATGTGCACAAGCAGAGGAACAATGATCATTAGGCTGCCTTCCAATAAGAGGGTTTTCAGATATGGGAGGAAGGTTCAACTGGGTCACTTCTAAAGTCCCTTTCATGTCTAAGAATCTTTATATCTTTTTATTAAGACATTCTTTAAAGTGAAAAGGCAT